AAAATCATTGAATCAAGCCCCAAATTCATCATTTTTCATTATAACTTCCTAAACTTCCAACTTTAGATATTTAGGTCCGAAACACGTCAAATGACGTCCGATTTCGACCAAACTTTACAGAAAGCGCTTAACACATATTTAAGACTTGTACCGGGCGTCGGAACCAAATACGAGCCCGATCATAGTCTTTTAATCAATTTTCATTTCCATTTTCTTTAATAATTTCAGAAAAATAATTTCACAGAGAAATTCTTTTACTCGGGTTCTAGACCTCGGATTTCGACTCCGGGCACATGCCCGAGTCCCATATTTTTCTACGGACCCACCGGGACCGTCGAATCACGGGTCCGGGTCCGGGTCCGTTTACCAAAAATATTGACCGAAGTCAACTTTAAATCATTTTAAAGCCACATTTTGAAATTTTTCACAGAATTTAACATATAGTCTTTTCGGCTACGGGACGGGACTGCGCACGCAAATCGAGGCAACTAAAGGTGAGGTTTTCAAGGCCTCGGAAGCGCGGAATGAATGAGGAAACAGGTGATGACCCTTTGGGGTCGTCACAAGGAGATTCAAGACCAAGCTTTACAAGCCCTTGAATCAAATCAAAGTCAAGCTCATTAAGATACTTTACATGCTTGAAGAATTAGAGGAATACCATAGAGATTGTAACACTCATTACTTACTGAAATCAAATACTACATTCGTTACGCAATTTTTCAGTCTTGATTATTTATTTTTCTCGACGCGAAAATTTGTTGTTACAACTTTCAAAGAGAAAATTTGAGAAATGTTTACTGGTAATTCTTTTTTAATGACGTGTACAAGTCAGTCACTTATAGGAAGTTTGTAGTTTAAATAATTTGTTAGTTATTTCAATTATGAAAATGAAATTTCTTCTTACAATTTTTATTTTCCAAGGTGTTAATGCCTTATTGAAATTATTTTCAGTTGAAAAGGAATTTTAACAGATTTAAATTAGTTTGACTAATTACAATCCATTAACAAACTTTCTTTTCTTTGGCATTTTCTTTGTGTCCGGCACATCTTATGTTGAAAAATCCTAGTTAATGAAGTTTGTGCTAGTTCTTTAATTATAATGACCCAAGTTTTGTTGAAGTGTACTGGGTGAATGACTTGATAAATATCAGTATCCGTTTGAGGGTTAATCTAAGGCAGTCGTTCTTTTTCCTATCAACATTTTCCACTAAAAGCACCGATAACTACTTTGTATTGTGGAAAGAAAAGTGAGAGCTTAACAATTAATGGTTGATAACGATAGGCTGTCTACTAGCTTTTATATAGAAAAATAATTTATGATGTCCACATCAAATAATGTTACGTAAGAGGGAATATAATCAACCAAACATTTTTTTTTTCTAATTGCTCGGCAAGCTTAATTTAATTACGAAAAAAGTTATGCAGTGACAACATAAAAATATTTTTACAATAAAATCTTGGGTTAGTTATATTTAACACTCGGTATAATAGTACTCTATTTCGAATATATCCCTATGAATTTGTCACGACCCAGAAATCTCACCATCAAAACCGTGATGGCGCCTAACATTTCACTTGCTAGGCAAGCCAGCGTTAGAATAATTTATCTATTTTTAACCGTTCAGATTAAATGATAATAAAGAAGCTGAAATAACTGCAATAAATCTGAGGTAAAGTGCGAAAAACCATAACAACTGAAATATCTAATACAATCCCGAATCTGGTATCACAAGTGCACGAGCTACTAGAATAGTACAAATAAAGGTCCGAATAAAAATAAAAGTGTCTGAGGAAAAGTACACAGCTAAGTTAAAGAAAAAGGGGACTTTAGGGGTTGCGGACGCCGAGCAGCTGTACCTCAAGTCTCCACTCAATAGCCGACCCGAACAATCTATGAACCGCCGCTGGGACCGACTCTAAAATCTGCACAAGAAGTGCAGAGTGTAGTATGATTACAACCGACCCCATGTACTCTGTAAGTGCCGAGCCTAACCTCGACGAAATAGTGACGGGGCTAAGGCAGTCACTTATAATAACCTGTACGCAGTATAAAATAATGGCAGGAAAGAAAATGCGGAAATGAATTAAAGCAGTTAACACATAATAGTAACCCAATCTCCGAAAAAACATCCAGTAAATGCCAGAAATACCAATCCTTAGAGTCTCGTATGAAAGTATCGAAGCCAACACAATACAACAAGGAATGTAAATCACATAAACTGTTGCGGCACGCAACCCGATCCCGTCGTACAACACAATTCTCCCTTATTCCACCATAATAATATCAATAATAATAAATAAATATATGTTGCGGCGCGCAACCCGATCCCACCATATAATCAGAATCAATATCATAATTCACCCTTATATCACCATATCAATCCACCTTTATTTCACCTGTTGCGGTGCGCAATCCGGTCCCACCATCTCAATATAAATTCACTCTTATTTCGCCATATCGATCCATTCTTATTTCACCTGTTGCGGTGCGCAACTCGATCCCACCGTACAATATGAATTAATCAATAAGTGTAATTAATTTAACAACTCAAATCACAAGAGTTCTCTACGATTAATGGATATGAAATAGAACTAGAAAGGAAATCTCTTCTCACATTAAGAATTCACTATGATTAATAATAAATAGTAAGACAAATCAAAGAAATGACAACTAAAGGGTACAAGTAGGTCATTTAAGGCAAGCAGCAGTAAATCATGGAAGTATGAGAGAATTTAACATTTTCAACACGAGAATGATAAGTGAGTAGTAGCAAATAAAGGCATGGGAAGCATCTAAAGCATGTAACAGTTAAGGCATGAAATGAAATAATTAATGAATTGCGGAGAAAGAGGAAAACAAGTTTTTTGGAAGCGTATATACACTCGTCACCTCGCATATACGCCGCAACACATGAATTTCACATAGCACATAACTCAAGGGTTTTTAATTGCCTCAAATCAAGGTTAACTCAACACTTACCTCATTCCGCAATCAACTCACCGGGGCCTTTCTTCTAGAATCCTCCTCCAAACCAATCGTATCTAACCAAAATCGACTCGATAACATCAAATAATGCTAGGAAAATCAATTACAATACATAAAATTAAGATTTTTACATTTTTGTCCCAAAAGTCAAAAAAAGTCAACATCGGGCCCGCTTGGTCAAAATTCGAGATTCGGACCAAAACCCATTTATCTATTCACCCCCGAGCTCGATTATGTAATTAGTTTCGAAATTCGACCCTAATTGAGGTCTAAATCCCGAATTTGTAAAAATCCCCAATTATTCCCAAATCCTTAATTTTCTACCATGGAAGAACGAAGATTAAGGCTAAAAATTAATGTGTGATGATGAAAATGGAAGAAAATAAGTTGAAGTACACTAACCTATGAAAGGGTGGTAAAATTTTTCCTCCAAATCACCTCTAGGACGAGCTCTAACGGAAAGATGGTGAAAAATTGGTGAAATCCCATAATTGAAATGTTTTAAGGTCTGTGCGTCAGGTCTTCATTGCGTTCGCGAAGGACCTGGCGCGTTCGCGATGCACAGCGGCCAAAGTGGCCTAGGCGTTTGCGAGAAGTGATCCGCGCTCGCGATGGTTCTTCCCCCTGACCATCGTGTTCACGACCAAGAGTTCGCGTTCGCGTAGCACACCAACCCAGCTACCCCAAGCCCACACTACTTCGCGTTCGCGGAGGAACAGTCGCGTTCGCGAAGGGAAAGCCCCCTTCACTTCGCGTTCGCAACCAGAACCTCGCGTTCACGAAGAACAATCTCCTCCCGTGTCCCAAACTACTCTTCGCAGTCGCGGGACTTTCTTGGCGATCGCGAATTAAAAAACACCAGAAACCACCAGAAGCTAAACCAGCGTTTCCTTAAGTTTAAAAACATCCGTAGCCTATCCGAAACTCACCCGAGCCCTCGGGGCTCTAAATCAAGCATGCACACAAGTCAAAAAATATTATACGAACTCGCTCACGCGATCAAAATACCAAAATAATACCTAGAACTACTATTCGGACACCAAAACGAATGAAATTTTCAATGAAACTTAAGAACTTTCGTTTTAACAATCGGACGTCCGAATCACGTCAAATCAACTCCGTTTTGCACCAAATTTTGTAGACAAGTCATAAATACTGTAATGAGCTCGTACCAAGTTCCGGAACCAAAATCCGTACCAGATAGCAACAAAGTCAAACTTCGGTCAAATTTATGAATTCTTTAAACCTTTAAACTTAAAATTTTCAACAAATTGCGATAAATCAAGCTACGGAATTCCGAATTTGATTCCGGGCATACGCCCAAGTCCCAAATTACGATACGGATCCACCGGGACCGTCAAAATACAAATCAGGGTCCGTTTGCTCATAACGTTGATCGAAGTCAACTCAAATGAGTTTAACGGCACGATTTCACATTTTAATCAATTTTTTACATAAAAACCTTACGAAAAATAATACGAACTGCGCACACAAGTCGAGAAAGGCTAAACTGAGCTATTCGGGATTTCGAAATATAGAATTGAGGGTTAAAACTATAAATAACATATCGGCTCATCACATTATTTTAAAATCAAACACTTATACCCCATATATTATGAAAATCGTACACATATATGCACCCCCCTAGAGATATATCTATAACTAAGTATATTAAAATATAATTAATAAAACACAATTAAATTAAAAATAATTTTTTTTTTGGCATTTTCATTGTGGTTTGGTTATTTATTCTTTTGCTTCATTGTTGTCTTAAATTTACTTTTCATTGTTTCATTATATAATAGGTTTTAACGTTTAAGAAAAAATAAGAATAACAATGTTATATTTAAGAGTTCCGAAAGATAAAAATATTTTTTAAAATATGTAAAGTTCAAGTCATCTCATTAAGTAATTTGTATTAATTTCTTATTTAAGATTTTTAGAAGATACATATTTCAAAAATGTTTCATACTCTTTTCTAAATTTCCTAAAAAATAATACATAAAATCTTGTTATTTATAGTTTTAATCTGTCTTGTATAATATAGGATATACCTCATAGGGGGCTGTAAGCGTATAATTCTTGTAGTGTAGGGAGTATAAAGTATAAGTGTTTGATTTTAAAATATAATGGATGTATCCGAAATTGAGTCATATTACAGGAGTGTTTAAAATAATTAATCCTAAAATCTTTTATAAAAATAATATAAATATATTTTTATATAAAGTCAATTAATAATCTGGTAAAAATAATAACTAACTTACCATATATAAGCTACACTAACCATATAAAAGATCTTTATATTATCAAGGGATATGACTTAAATTCTTAAAAAGGACAGAAGGAGAAAGAAAGATAGAGAATGGACCCGCAAGCACCTAACGTTGCAAGTTGGTCCTGACTTGTGGTCCATCGGCGTATTATTGTGGCCAAACTGCTGAGAATGAATCACTTGGCCGCATGCTCTGTGGTGTTTTCTACTTTGTTAAACAGCTGTTAATTTGGTGGAAACAATCGTATAAATGGTTGTGAGAACATTGACATAAAAACAGCGAATTCTGTTGCTGTGATTACGCTTACTGCATGTGATTTGTCCTTCCCGTATTTTGGTGCACCGTGCACCACACCAAACACCAAAGGAATGTCGTCTGAATAGCTAGTTTTGCAAGATTCAATATTCCATATAGTGATTGTTGAATTTTTCATGTGTACCTAAATTATTCTTTAGGGTATTTTTTAATGCTTTGAACGGGATTGTTGTCAAAGGATGTCATCCCATTTGCATGAGTTGGGAGGAGGAGGTGTGAAATTGAGCCATGCAAATGAGATCTGAACCTAAGTTCTTAGAGAGGAAGAAGAAGAGAAGAAGATCTGTTTTCATTATTGTAGAAATGAGCTGAAAACCCAGCTATATACAATTCCCTTACTTCTCACACGTGCACCTCACGTTCCTAACTAACTTGTGTAACTAACTTCTTAACAGCTCATTAACAGTTCATTAATCACAAATAACAGCTCACTGGTCTTTTAACTGCTCAGTTGCTTCTCATTCTATTACTCCCCCTCAAGCTGGAGGGTGAAAGACATTGAGCACTCCTAGCTTGGACAGGAGAAGCTGATGCTGCCCAACTCCTAAACCTTTAGTGAGGAGGTCTGCAAGCTGAGCTTGTGTAGCAATGTATTTAGTTTCAATAAGCCCTTCCTTCACCTTTTCTCGGACAAAATGACAATCAATGTCTATATGCTTGGTGCGCTCATGAAATGTTGGGTTTGCTGCAATTTGGATAGCTGCTTTGCTATCACAATGAAGTTGGATTGGTCTGGAGATAGGCACACCTAAGTCTTGCAGCAACCCAACTAACCATACCACTTCTGCTACACTAGCTGTCATGCTGCGATACTCAGCTTCTGCTGAACTTCGACTAACTGTTTGTTGCTTCTTTGACTTCCATGTGATTAGAGAATCACCAAGCTTAATGACATATCCTGTGACTGACCTCCTAGTGTTAGGACAAGCTGCCCAATCAGAGTCGCAATAGGCTGTCAACTGAGCGGCTGAGTTCTGGCTTAGACAAACCCTGTACCAGGACTACCTTTGATGTATCTCACCACCCTTAATGCTTCTTCCCAGTATGACCTCTTTGGCTGCTGCATGAATTGACTGAGCACCTGAACTGTGAAACAAATATCTGGACGTGTGATGGTGAGGTAAATTAATTTGCCAACCAATTTTTGATAACTGCACATGTCTTCAAGCAAAGGGTCATCAACAGCACCAGTCAATTTGTCAAGTTCAACTGTGGTTAGTCTGGTGTTGGCTTCAAGTGGTGTTGTAGCTGGCTTTCCACCACTGAGTCCAACATCAGAGATTAGTTCTAAGGTATACTTTCTCTGATTGAGAAGCATCCCTTGCTTTGATCCCAATACTTCAATTCCTAAGAAATATTTGAGTTCTCCAAGATCTTTGACTTTGAAATTGTTGTGCAGGGTCTGCTTGGCTTCTTCAATGAGGTCCTTATCACTCCCAGTAATGAGTAGATCATATTAGAATGATCACAATACATCCTTCTCTCTGTTTAGTGAATAAAGAATGATCATGAGGGCTTTGGCAATATCCTGCCTGCAGCAAGACAGTAGTTAGCTTGATATTCCATTGCCTCGATGCTAGTTTGAGGCCATATAAAGATTTCAAGAGCTTGCACACCCTATACTCCCCCTGCCTATGAAAACCTTGAGGCAAATTCATATAGACTTCTTCATATAAATCTCCTTGAAGGAAAGTATTATTAACATCCATTTGGTATAAAAACCAGTTCTTTGAAGCTGCCACACTAATGACTGTTCTAACTGTGACCAGTTTTGCAACCGGTGAGAAGGTTTCATGATAGTTTAGCCCTTCTCTTTGTGTGTACCCCTTTGCTACCAAGCGAGCTTTGTACTTGTCTATCTCCCCATTGGCCTTGTACTTGATTTTATATACCCACTTTGAGCCTATAGTCTTCTTTCCAGCAGGTAGTGGAAGTAACTCCCAAGTTCTGTTCCCTTCTAATGCATCAATCTCCTGCTGCATTGCTTGAATCCAATTGTGATCACTAGAGGCCTCCTTGAATGATCTGGGCTCTGTTGGTATATAGAAGGAGCCTAAGTTAGCTTGATAGGAGGGGTTAAGATGAGTGTAGGTCACATAATGAGATATAGGATAGGAACAATGTGTCTTTGGCTTGACAGTAGTGCTGTAGTCACTAAGCCAAATTGGAGGTCTGATTGTTCTGCTTGGTCTCCCATGTGTGTGTTCATAGTGTTGATTTGCTTCTGTTGTTAACTCAACTGGTTGAGTTGCAGCTTGATCAACTCCTGTAGCTACAGGAGTTTCAAGTGTCTGTGGTTGATCCACTGCATCATCTGAGTCTAGTGCTGTATCTGGGAGATTAGCATCATCTATGTCCAATGCTGCATCAGAAGGATCAGGTGAATCAATGGATAAACTCTCTACTGCAGGTGCTGCTTCTCCTGGTTCAGGTATTGGTTCTGCACTGGTAGGATGTTGTTCATGTGGACCTCCTGCATGTGCCTGATTATACCTGCATTTGAGGTCTCTTTAAACAAAAAAATGTCACCTAATTCTTCTTGAGTCTCAATTTTAAAAGGGAATAGTGATTCCTTGAACTGAACATCTCTGCTAACAAAAAATTGATGATCTTCAAGATCATATAACTTGTAACCTTTTTGAGTTTCTGAATATCCCACAGATACTGTCTTCCTAGCTCTTGATGCGAATTTGTCACCTCTAGGTAACCTGCTTGCATAGCAGAGACACCCAAACACCTTTAAATGAGATAGTTGAGGTACCTTACCATGCAATAACTCAAATGGTGTTTTTCCTTGAAGCACTGTGGATGGCAACCTGTTGATCAAGTATACAGCAGTTCTAACACAATCGCCCCAAAATTTTATAGGCATTGAACTTTGAAAGGTTAATGCTCGTGCCACCTATAGTATCTGTCTATGCTTCCTCTCCACAACTCCATTTTGTTGTGGAGTGTATGAAAAACTGCTTTGATGAATCACACCATAGGAAGTTGAAAGCTCATTACATTTTGAGTTAAAGAACTCACTACCATTATCAGATCTAAGGATTTTTATATTCTTGTCAAACTGATTCTTTATTAAAGCAAAGAAGTTCTTCAATACTACAAACACTTCACATTTAGATTGAATCGACATATCCAAGTGTATCTGCTGTAATCATCCACTATGGTAACAAAGTAGTGCATTTTATCATATGTAGGCTTTCTGTATGGACCCCATACATCTAGATGCATCAATTGAAAAAGGCTACTTGATCTACTGTTGCTATTAGGAAATTTTAGTTTGCTTTGTTTTGCCAAAGGACAGATTTCACAGCATCCTAACAGTTCAGCATCTACTTTATTCTTGACATCTGCAATGTGTTGCATTGCTCCAATAGAAGGGTGACCTAGTCTCCAATGCCAAAGCTTTCCACTATTGTCCTCCTTATGAGCTGTTGCTCCCATTGCAGGTTTTATTGTCTCTTGCAATATGTACAATCCTTCCTTTTCTTTACCAATCCCCAGAACCTTCCCATTGTAGAGTCCCTGAAACACACAAAAGTCAGGGAAGAACAAAGCCACACAAGAAAGTTATTTGGTTATCTTGGACACTGGAAGCAGATTAAACTTGAAATCTGGCACATGTAGAACATTCTCAAACTTATAGCTTCCTAAAATCACTGCATCTCCTATACTTGTGATTTCTGCTCTACCACCAGTAGGAACTTGAACTCTACTGCTATTTTGATCTCTCAGTGTTCTAAAAGTAGTCAGCAACTCCTTATATGGTGTAATATGATGCGATGCCCCTGTATCTATTATCCATTCACAAGCAAAGTTGGTGGATAACAGTAAGGTCATACCTGCCATGTTACCTGCTATGTTATCTGCATTGTCACTGGATGTTGGCTTGTTCAGCATATTCAGTATCTGCTGGTATTGTTGTTTAGTGAAGAAATGACCCTGTGCCTCTGATGAATTCATATTTTCTCCTGCAACTGTAGAATTGGCAAAAGGTCTGAATCCACCAGATAGTGCCCCCTTCTTCTTGCTCTTAAAATCCTGTGGGTAACCAACAATTTTATAACAATTTTCCTTCAAGTGTCCCTTATATCCACAATGATCACAGATTACACCAGGCCTTTTAGGCTTCATACCTTGGTGTGTTCTTCCTGCTAACATTGTCAATGGATCCTTATTCACATCTACCAAACCTAGTAACCTTTGGCTTTCCTCCTGAGATACTATTGCATAGGCTTCATTTACTGACACTATAGGTCTCCTTGTTAGTAGATTACTCCTTAGATTACTGTAGGATTCATTAAGTCCTTTAAGGAGCTGCAGCTAACCTTTGTGATCTCCGGTGAACAACATAAGGTAAAGATTCCTCACAATCACAAGAAGGAAGTGGAGCTAAGACATCTAATTCATCCCAACAATCCTTCATTTTAGAGTAATATGAAGTAACAGATCAGTGCCCTGTCTTAGGGTAGCAATTTCAGTCCACAAATGAAATATCCTAGTCAAATTCGATCTATCAAATCGCTCCTCAAACTCACTCCATACCTTCTTAGCATTGGATGCATACACGATACTAGCCATCAATTCTATCGCGACTGTGCTTCCTATCCATGACATAACGATAGCGTTGCATTTCTCCCACTGCTCTGCCAGTTCTCCTCTATACATACTTTTGGCACAGGTTCCATCCACAAAACCTAATTTTCCTTTGCCTCGAAGAGCCAATTTCATTGCTCTACTCCACAGAGCGTAATTATTTGGCCCTGTGAATTTGAGCGGAATTAGGACTAGTCCAGGCGCATCTCCAGCTTGAAGATACAACGGATGATTGTGGTCAAGTGACGTTACCTCATTTCCTGCCATTTTTACTGAGATCTGAGCTTCCTGTTCTTCTGCAACTCACAAAATTGCACAAATCTGTGATTGTGTTCTTCTGCGAATCTCGAATTTACAGTTTCCTTAGAGCATCGAAGTTACCCGCTCTGATACCATGTGAAATTGAGCCATGCAAATGAGATCTGAACCTAAGTTCTTAGAGAGGAAGAAGAAGAAGAGAAGAAGATCTGTTTTCATTATTGTAGAAATGAGCTGAAAACCCAACTATATACAATTCCCTCACTTCTCACACGTGCACCTCACGTGCCTAACTAACTTGTGTAACTAACTTCTTAACAGCTCATTAATCACAAATAACAGCTCACTGGTCTTTTAACTGCTCAGCTGCTTCTCATTCTATTAGGAGGAGGATAAAAGAAAAAGGAAAACTAGTATACTAATTTATTTGAAAT